TGCAAAAATAAAAACGCAGGTACCTTCCTCCAGCTTACAGACTGTTGGTTCATAGGATAGACTCCATGCCCTTTTTGCCCAGTTCCCAAGCCCAAAAATATCACTTGATGGCGGAGAGCACGAATTAACCACCATTACCTAAGATCTCTTAAGGGTCTCTTGAAAATCACATCTGATTTCAGCACCAAATGAGGACAGATGACTTTTATTTACTGATATAATTTACATCTCCAAATGATAACCATGCAAACTGTGAAGCAACACATTAAAACAGGAAAAAAAAAAGGGCTACAACAGCAACTTTTGCACATCTTGGTAAAAAAAAGAAAAGAATCCAACAAGTCATAGCTACCACCAAACACATTTAAGGCAATCTGTGAGTAGTGATGGGGTGATAACTAAGAAGAAAAAATGCACCCCAATATTGTTGTTGCTTGAATTCCGTAAGAAATCATTCACCAATTATAAAAATTAAAAATCATTCAAAGGCAATCTCAAATTCTCAATGCCATGAATTTACAATACATTGATACCTTGGAACCTTGGATTTACAAGAAGAGTTCAATTAAAGATGCTATCCAAAGGAACTCGCTCCCAGCATACAATATACAGAAATAGTGGACTTTGGGAACCGCGAACCTAAGATGGGCATAACGCGATCCCTTTTGGTAGGGATCCCGTCCCCTTGAAGATAAATACATGCTCCGCGTATGTCATGGAACTTGCTCCTTGCCTAACGACATGTAGGGAGCTCGCTGCGCCTCTAAGGGAACTTTGACAAGTACTCGCTCCACGCTCTTGTTCCCGTTTTGGGGGCTTCGCACGTTTCCGTTCCCGGTAACTATGGGTGGAACATGTTCCCATATTTTGAGCTCCTCTTCTGTAGCTTGCTTTTGACAGAAGAGTAAGGCTCGTAAGATGACTGTGGCTCTAATGGCAAGACAGGCTTTTTGGTGAGCTAAAAATATTTTCATATGAAGCATATCCAACATGATGGCAGTAATGGATGGGTGAGAGAAACAACATATGTCATCTCTCTAAGATCTTCAGCACCTATTGCATTGCAAGCCAATGTGTTAACATCTTTGTCAGAAGTAGGAAGGATGTGACATAGATTTCTGAACAAGATTAGTTATCAAAAGAGATGCTTTCAAGAAACATAATGCATAGAGAGGCCTCGAGGTTTTGGGGTGCTAGATTGTAGGCTTGTAGCAATGTTGACTTTTCCTGCTGCTTAGAATTGCCAATTTTTACAACTAATGGTTTCTAGAGATATCTTTTGTTCTTAGAATCATAGAAACATAAGAATGATCTCGTTAGTGAGAGATTCAAGCACTTGTTTGTTGGGATACACGGGAGATGATCACAACATCACATCCTAGGTTTGAATACCATGCTGACCAAAAGAAATAAAATTACAAAGCTGCCATGTATCCCTTAATACATTAGTGGGGGGCATTGGAAGAAATAGAGCTTCCAAGTGCGTCAGATGCTATAGCTTGATTACTGGTTTACATCGATAAAAGTACCTGATGACCTTAATATAGGAGTGGTTTACATCATGAGATTCTCAGGTGTGGGGGTCATAACGATGATAAGTTACAATGTTGAGTTTTTATATCTCATAGTATGTGTGTGCATATCTATCTAATGAATGACTCTTTGTGAGCTTGTGTCCACCATAGTTGCGGGGAGCTTGGTGGGGGGTGGTGTGCGCACCTCGGAATCTCGCTTTTGCAATCCTGGAGCTAAAACCCGAGGGGAGCTTGCTCCTCCCATCAAGGGAGCTCGATCTCTATTCTATCTTATAAGGATCTCGATCCTTGACAAAAATGTATCTTGATTGCTTTGGAGGGGGAACTCCCCACTGAAAATATGCCTCAATCATGGGGGGTGGTGTCCCCACCTCGGAATCTCGCTTTTGCAATCCTGGAGCTAGAACCCTAGGGGAGCTTGCTCCTCCAATCAAGGGAGCGCGAATATCTCTATCTTATAAGGATCTCGATCCCTGATAAAAATGTATCTTGATTGCTTTGGAGGGGGAACTCCCCACTGAAAATATGCCTTAATCATGGTTTCAAGGGATCCTTTATAGTAGGGAAGTTTCAAAAGTTTTTGAATTTTGAAACCGTCTTTTATTTTGTGTTATTTTTTTTACTTTTTGTCAAATTTCTAGGAAAGAAGCACTTAAAGACAATTCCTAATTTCGGTTTTTATCATGACCGTCCAATCTTATTCTCAAAGTTTTATGGGATATGCATGCTGCAAAGTTCTCATTGTGCATGTATATATAGTGCTAAAAAGTGGACTATACGTATTTCAATTTTTTAAATCACTTTAAAAATAATATATATATAAAATAAAGCCGTTCCCAAGGGAAGGAGTTTCAGTCATGGGTCCATCCTAGGCTCTCGTTCCAGCTCCGAATCCCTCACCCCACTCCTGCTTTCAACAACTATAGTGTGCTCGTCTGTCTAGTGAAGGGCTATCGACAATACTTTTTCTCCAAGAACGTTCATGTTCAAGGGAGAGGGCCTGACCTGCCCTGTTCAAATTGGGTGTCACTACACTACATTAAAGGCCACAAAATGGGAATTTATCTTTTAGGCTATGAAGTTTAATTTTGCTGTATTTTGAGTGATTAAGGAAGATGACACTAACACAATAAAAGGTCTTGCATGTATAGATGAGGTCAGAGCCATAGTTGTTGGAAGCACGAGAGATTCATAAGCGTTTTAGGTTTCAAAAGCGCAGAATTGCAAGCGGCTAGAAGATTCCTGTTGTGGGAAGTGTCATCCATACAATGCATATTGCAAGAGTTGATATTCATCCTTTATGGGAATCACAATCCAACCGAATTGAAATTGAGCCAATTGGCACCATATTGGGAATCATTAGGAAACCAAGTTTCATGAGGCAAAGTTTGAGGTTCTAGAGTAACCCTTAACAAAGAATCCCCTAGTATTGGAGTCAATGTATTGAGTAAGCTTAGCCAGGATTCCCCTAGTATTGGAATCAAGATCCTCAATGGCCTCAATGACCTAAACAAGGGTTCACTAGTATTGAAATCGATGTATTGGGTGACCTTAATCACGGTTGACCACAAGTATTGGAATGCAAGTCGAGGGTCCTTGAAACTAGATTTGAGACTGAGGTTCTAGATTGAATATAGAAAATAAAAATACTTTACTTATTGATCATAAATTTTAAAAAATGAGATGTTTATTTTGGGTTCTCGGAATTTGGGAATGATGATAAGTAGAGTTTGTAGACACTGGTAGATTTTTAGATACTGATCATATATTAACAATAAATTTTAAAGGGGAATGATTTCATGCAACGGTTGTCTAGTAATACAATGAAACAATCTTCAAAAATCATGCTAGGACCATTTGTTTGACTCCAATTTTTAAATATACACTCGTTTCATTTTAATGAACAATTACAAAAAAAAATAAATGAAAATATACCCTTGAAAGTGGTTTTTAGCATAGTTAATTATAGGTCCTCCATTTTGATGAGATGCTTAGATCTACGCCTTAGAATTTTTTTTTTTTCTTTCCAAATATTCTAGATGGCTTTATCATGATTGGATTAACAATGTCAAAAAAGAAAAAAAATTATTTTAAATTCATAAAGGCGTAGATCTTGAAATTCACCAAATGGATTGTTTAGATTCATTGTTAGAGAGGACTCGTTTTAACTATATTTGGGGGGCAAATTGAATTTTATTTTTTTTGAGATTGATTATTGGGATGGCGAGAGAGAGTGTACAAATTTTGAGGTCATAAATAGATATCACACATGGTTTCTTAGAAATATGGTTTCATTATATTACAATGACACGGTGACATGAGATCATTCCCCAATTTTAAATAACACAATGTTTCACTAGTCCACTATGGAATTCGTGTTTGTGTTTACAAAACATACTCATACTATCTTATATATACTTGAAAATGGGATTTTGTTTTCGTATATATGCTTGAAAATGAGATTTAGTTGAATTTGGATTTCAAATAACATATCAATATTTTTAAAATTGGAAGCAAGATTCTATGTTGATATTCCAAATAACATATCAATATTTGTAAAATTGGAAGCAAGATTCTATGTTGATCAAATCATGGTTTTGTGTAGCTATGAACTATATAGTTTTTAATGTTGTGGAAACTGGATTCCAAAAAAGTAGACTTAAGAGGGCTGGCCATGTGTCACATAGATACAACATCTATAAGGAGGGGCGATTCGTTCAAGTGGAATGCTCTAAAAAAGCAAGGTGAAGGCCTAGAAAGGACATGGATGGAAGTAGTGCGAAGAGACTGAGGGTTTGATCTTTGTAGAGCTGAGTGGCAGCACATGATTTGTGTAGCTGACCCTAAATAGTAGGGATAAGGCTCATATGATGATTAATGATGGATCTGGATTAAAAAATCAGATAAAAACTCTATAAAGCTGGAAGAAAGATTTCTAACTTTAAGGAACTGGGTTTCGTGAAGATTCATTGATCAGAACGCTGAATCGTGATTCCAAAGCTGATTTGCACTTGGGGTAGTAGATTCCGGCAACTATGGTTAGGACCTAGTATTCTTGGACCTGCATGGGTAGTGATTAAATAAGTGGCTGCATGATAGTGTGAGACAAATCCTCTTGATCACTGTGTTTCATCAAGTGATCTTGGCCTTGTAAACAAATTGCAATACTATGGTCAAACTGACCATAAATGAAATCATGAATGAATGACAGAATCACCCTATACTATATTCTTGTTTTACAATTCATATCAAGTTTATTCCAATTTCTCTAATGGATGATGGCTTCTGATGCTTCTACCCAGTTGTCTTGACACATCAAATTATGAGGTCCTCTCGTATATTCTGTATTATTTTTTCTTTCTATTTTCTTTCTTACATTTGAGTTGATTGAGAAAATATACAAAATGCAGTCTAGATTAGCACATAATTGATTCTCGCACCAAATTTGTGCATGGTTTTTTGCAGGTACAGAGCCATTACTAGCGCATATTATCGAGGGGCAGTGGGGGCCTTGCTTGTGTACGATGTGACCCGACAGGCCACATTCGAGAACGTTGAGAGGTGGCTCAAAGAGCTCCGGGACCACACCGACCCCAACATTGTGGTCATGCTTATTGGTAACAAGTCAGATCTTCGCCACTTAGTGGCTGTCTCAACTGAAGATGGCAAGTCCTTTGCTGAGAGAGAGTCCCTCTATTTTATGGAGACCTCTGCCTTAGAATCTACTAATGTGGAGAATGCTTTTGCTGAGGTTTTGACCCAAATTTATCGGATTGTGAGCAAGAAAGCTGTTGATGCAAGCGAGGATGTGGGGCCCACAGCTTTGCCAAGCAAAGGGGAGAAGATAAACATTGGTGGTAAGGACGATGTATCGGCCTTGAAGAGAATCGGGTGTTGTTCGAACTAGGGTTTTCGGGTGGGTGTGTTAGGGTAGGTTATTTGATTGAGATTGTTTTGGATGTATATGATGGTTTGTCTCTCTCCGTGGAGCTGATTTTATTAGGTTGAATGAGAGAGCTGGAAGTTTTTTCTTGTGACTCTGGTTTTGATAAAGGTTGGAGGTAAGAGTTGGAGCAGGTAGAGTGTTCATTTGATGCGCTTGTAGCCCTTCCTGGTGGGGAAGTTGAATTTGATATTTGTTTTCTTTTGACAAGGTAAGAATGGGCTCTCTCTCTCTCTCTCTCTCACTCTCACTCTCACTCTCTCTCTCTCTGTATTTATTGGTTTGTGTGGGTCCACAAGCACCTTCTAGGGGATGTACTTTTCTCCACCTTTTATTTTGTCGTAATGCTTCCGGTTTCTGTTAGGAGACATGGCGTCCCTATGCTGTGTCCCACATCATTTGGAGTCGTTTAATGTTAAAATCATGAAGAATGACCACAACACAAGCCATGCATGCAAATAAAAATGAATAGTAGAGGTAGCATAGGTGATGCATTTGGTTGTTGCATTGAAGTATGCCAGCGAAGTTGGGAAGCACATGGCGATGGTGTGAGGGAGAGAGGACTGCCTGTTTATTCATTTAATTTAAAATAAATTAAATTACCAAACTTCCTCTAAATTGTAGAGAGGTAGTTTTTTAGTTTATTTATTTTAAATTATTTTTTAAATATTTTTATAGGTAATGATGGTGAAAATTATGGACATATGAAATTTGATATTAAGTTGGTGTATGAGGTGTAAAAATTAGATAAAATCAAGATACATAGACCTTTTAAGCGGGCACTACCTTTTGGGGCTTTAAAGTTATCCTCTTTCAATAAGTAAGAGAGTTAGGAACCTCTTTGTAGCACCACTAATATAGAGCATTTGGAGTTGTGGGTTGGAATAGTGTGAGTTATGAAAATGGGGATTGGGCATGAAATAGGCCCCCATAGGATTGTTTTAGTGGGACTAGAGAAGTCTTTTCCGTTTCTCTTTGCAATGTTCAGAGCGGAGAGCTTGTTATGCCAATGCTAAGCTCTAGTCATGATCTCGTACTATGTTTTAGTAACGATCTCGTCTTTGCTAGTTCCTACGGTACGGTGTCAAAACTACGGCTTCTTACTTTGGTATCTCGCTGCACTTTCTTTAGTCAGCTCGTTGCTTTCTTCCTTCTGTTTTTCACAAATAGAAAGGATAAAACAGGGCATGAGTTAACTATATGGGTGGCGATGGTGGGTCGACCTGTGGACCTTGTGGGTTGGCTTGATGGGGCTGGTTTGGACCTAGAAATTGGATCTGACAGGTTGGGTTTGGGCCTAATTGACAGATCCGATTCAGGTTTGGTCCGACTCGAACCCTATAGGGTTGGGGCGGAATCAACTTGATGTGATCCGACCTTCATTTATGTGTTAGGTACATATATTGTAACTATGTATTATAAAATAAATAACAATTTCTTTTTGAGTTTTTGTTTTTAGACCGACTCGATATGGTGGGTTGGCCTTGGGTTTAACCTATACCTAGTGGTTTGGGTCAGGATGACTAGATTGGATACGACCCAAGTCCTAATTAACTGCACTTAGAAATGGATAGTTCACCAATATAATGAAGTACATGCCCATGGAGCGAAGGGAAGCTATAGTTCACTGCACTTCGAAATGGATAGTTCACCAATATAAAGAAGTACATGCCCATGGAGCGAAGGGAAGCCATGAAGCTCAAATGATTTACATAAAGGAGAGGTATTTCATGTGAAAGAGACGGATCGTTTGTAATGAGCGAGCATTGATAACGTGCTCATGCGGGATCAGATTGTGAACTTGCACGTATAGCATGCTCATTGGAGAGCATATTGTAAACTTTAACTCCCTTCGTCCAAAGAGCTACCTGCTTAGGAGGGTTTTTATTTATTTATTTGAAATTATGGGATCCATCTGAGAATCACCGTGATTGTTTTAACTGGGAAACACTTCAAGCCTTTTTGTTTTTTCTTAAAGGGTAGTTAAGTGGTAGGAATTGAATTGGAGATGTGCACCTCTCCTTAGAGCTTTGACGAAAGGAAAATTGTTTCGTGGGGGCTAAACCACATTTCTACAATATGCGGTCTCAAGGTATAAAGCATCCGTTTTAAAGATGGATGCAAATAGGTGGTCCATCTAAAAACAATTGAAACTAACTGTCCCAATGTTTTCTTCATAAAATCATTATTTTTATTTTTTAAAATTTATTTAGTTTATGTTAATGATTTCCATATTAGATATTATTTGTCCATAACAATTGGGTCCGAAAATGCATCTCAAAAATAGATTTTTAAGAGTCGACTCGTTTCTACATGGACTCATAGAAACTTTGTCCATTACAAAGTTTGGACATCCAACATGCATGAAACGTCAAAATAAAGTAGATAAGAGTGATCGGATTTGACTGAACCAAAGTACACGTTTGCTTGTGGAAAATGGGTTGTGGAAATTATGAGCATGAAATTATTGAAGAGTGGAGATAGGAAACAAACCTGGGGCTATGCGTGTGATAGGGGTCGTTATATTGAATTCCAATAAATATCAAGCTTTAGAAATGTCAATACCTCAGATACCCAATGCCGTGTTTCCATTTTTCAAAAGGGAAGAAGAATAGATCCATAATAGTAAGGGAAGGAATCAATGCTTTAGTGATAATGTTTGACAAACATTCATCGACCACGATAAACTAACTAAATTATAAACAAATAAAATTTCCCCAGGATGACACAAGATTATCCTCTGTTTTGGTAGGTAGCATCTCTCTCTTAACTTGAAATTTTCCTTCAAATTTTGTCTAAAATTTAGAAGGAAAAACTTTTGTATAAGGTTGTAACTTTAAAAATGTACAATTAAAGATGCAGCTCAAAAATCTATTAGAAAAGATTGTTTTAATGTTGAAAAACCCTCTAATTGATCATCTCGACATCGAGATGTATTGATATTAAAAAAAAAAAAAAATTTGAGTATTAGAAATAGTGCATCTTGCAACACATTATCTAGACCGTCCATTTTCAAGATTTTCATATGTTTATAGATCTACTTGATTTTAACCATTTTAAGAGTTTAAAATAGATTTTTAGATAATCATAAGAATGTTTTCCACCAAAATTACATGTTACGATAAAATTTGAAGGTACGCCTTAATTGGATTGTTTAAGGTTACAACCCTAATGTTAATATGCTCATACAATATAGGAAGTCGTTTTGGTGAATGGGCTTCTTCACCTGTTTGTATGCGTCCCCCTCCATGATTCATGTTAACATAGTTTTTGAATTTAAATTTTTAGGATCCAAGATCTAAAGCATGAGGATCAAGGATACGTAAAAGATAAATACAATTTTTCAAAATCTAAGAATGATACACCACCTGTTTGAAAATTTTAGTTGAACCTTTATAGCCTCCTATCTTAAAGATGGGTGTTTGATGGTCAAGAGGATGCATGCATCATCAGATTCATAAAAATAAGCGTACATATATTAAGTGACATGCTATGTGATACAATGTTATTAGGATCGGACGGGCCACCGATTCACTAAGAGATTTGGCTGAATTAAATTGATTCAATAAGTGGTCGAAATGATTGGACTAGATTTTAAAAAATAAAATAAAAATAAAAATAAATATATTAATTTAAAAATATAAAATATAAATTTTTTTTTACCTAATTTTATTTAGATGGTCGAACCGGTTAAAACTGAATGGTTCGACAAACCAATACTGATCAAACATTGCTTTTGACTAGTTTTCGATGACACTTGATTTTTACCTTAGACTAGCTCAACCAAAGCATCGGTTCACAATCCGACTGGTTTGATCACCAATTTAGTCCGGTCTTGATAAGTATGTTGTGACGTACCACACCCACGAGTCAATCACGATGAATATATCATGCACACGTGTGACACCCATTATCCATTCTTAGCGGCAAATGGTGAGATGCAATGTGATTCTAATATGGGATAGCCACAAGGAATTGTAGTTCATCTCCGCCGTCTATCTTGCGAACAGGCGGTGGATGTAACATGAATGCATTGTATATCAAACAAACAAGGTACAATATAATGAGTACGTATACTGTGTGCCAGTGGGAGCATTTATTCTCCTACTTCCTCAGGCATTTGACCTACCTGGGTGGAATTTTTCAATATGAAAATTTGGGAACCATCTAAGAATTACTTTCAAAAAATTTAAAATTTAAAATTTTCTAGCACTAAGATCTCACTCTCAAAAAAGACTGAACGGTCTATGTTAACCTTGAGACCTTATGTTTTTAAAGTGCATAAAGAGTGCAATCCGAGTTCCTTTTTTCTTGACGTTTGTCTATGCGTTGAAAAGGTTAAAGCTCTTAAATTTGGGGCCATATAATTTTTCTTACTCTTAAATTGAGTTTTACCCGAGAGAATAAATGCACAGTATACTTCTGCCGAAGCATAAAATCTTTTGACTCGTATAATAACATGCATCACCTAGAGAGATGTGGAGAGAGAGAGAGAGAGGTGATTCAATCTACCAACACAACAAAAAAAAAAAGAAAAAAAAAGAAAGAAAAAAAGAAGTGTGATTCATGTGAAGGAAAAGTCAAGGGTGGAAAATGATAGTTTAATGGTGGGAGATTATTATTTTCAGAGTTGCAAGAGACTGCAAGTTGATGTTCCAATCGCCACTCCATCTATCCATTCATTACGTGAAAAGCGGGGAAGAACAAGTCTCCAATCAATAAAATGAATCCTTCCATTCAAATAAATAATTAGATAGAGCCGACGCTCTAAATAATAAAATTAAAGCCTACCTCAAAAATTTCACTAGAAGAAGTTGTTTTGATGCTCAAATATTCTCAAATTGATCATCTCGACATCAAGATGCATGGTACTGAGGAAACAATGATTGCAAGTTTTGGAAATAATGTATTTTGTAACGTATTTTTGGACTGTCAATTTTCAAGATTTTCAAGTTTTCATAGATCAGTCGATCTACACTATTTTTTAAGCTTTAAACTCTATAAATAAATATGAAAATATATTTTAAGGCTATCACAAAGATTTTTAATATTGAAACCATATTTCTCGACACTATTTGAAGGTAGGCTCTAATTTGATTGTTTAGAGCCTGGCTCTATATGAACTGGCACTTTTTATTTATTGGATGCGGTTTGTATAGAGCTGAGGCTCTAAACAATCAAATTAGAGCCTACCTTTAAGTAGTATCGAGAAATATGGTTT